TAATTTATACCTTGGGTAACTACTGAAGTTGTTAAAGCCCTTCGCATTTTTTCATGATAATGTGTTAAATTGTGGCAAACTGGAGAGTTCCGTGATGTAAAATATGAATATCTGTTCACATTGGTGGAGTCATCCATTTCTTGAATCCTGAAAGCAAGCTAGGATTTGGTGGGAATCCAGACCTTCCTACACAAAAAGCACCGGGGCACCCATCACAGCTCCCCCTTTCCTTGTTCACATAAAAGATGAGAATTTATGCACAGTGTTACACAAAAAGATGCTCCCTTGGCTGGTGTGGGTTGGGCTGGTTTTGGGTACATCCCACTGGTGGAGAGTTCCATGATGTAAAATATGAATATCTGTTCACATTGGTGGAGTCATCCATTTCTTGAATCCTGAAAGCAAGCTAGGATTTGGTGGGAATCCAGACCTTCCTACACAAAAAGCACCGGGGCACCCATCACAGCTCCCCCTTTCCTTGTTCACATAAAAGATGAGAATTTATGCGTGGTGGTTTTACACAAAAAGATGCTCCCTCGGCTGGTGTGGGTCGGGCTGGTTTTGGGTACATCCCACTGGTGTGGGAAGTAGGTTTGTTCTCTTGGCTCAATGGGAAAAATATCAGCAGTGAAAAAGCCCAACACCAAAGTGGGAATTAAGGTGCTCTTAGAGTGAAAGATTTGGCAAGAAAGTGGTCTTTGGATTTGATTGAGCTCAACAAAGTCAAAGATTTGACAAGAAAGTGGTCTTTGGATTTGATTGAGCTGGTGCAGTTTTTGGAGTCCTCCAGGGACTTAAGTCCATGGCAGAAGAGAATGGAGATGCCACAGGTGCAGGAACAGGAGTCTTCTGTCAGAGCAGCTCAGCCCTCACCAACACCACACTGCTCATTTGGCTCAGGAAAGTAGGAGACTCTCAGGTCTTCTTGGCAATGCTTTTGAAATAAGAAAGAAGGAGGTTTATAGCGTACTGCAGAAAACAGCCAAGACTGTGAAGAATAATCTTGAGTATTTAACTGCTAAAAAGGTTTCTGTAATCAGGTATTTTTAACGCTGCTCCTTAATGCAAGCCTAGGTTTATGAGGGAAAGAGTAAAATGGTGAGTTGATAGTCAAGACACTTTGAAAGGGCTTAATTTCAGGTCTGTGTGGATAGAGCAAAGGCGGAAAGGATTTTGTGCAGGGACTTCAGCGAGAATGACATTTCAAAGCTTACAAAATGTTAGAGAACATTCTCCTTTCAGATTTTCTTTTCTGATTCACACTCATCAAAACAATCACAACAATCAGAATGGATTGTAATGAAGTTCCAGGAGATCTGGAATGAAATAAAAATCCATGGGCACATCTATTGTCTGCTCCAGATCCCACAGACCCAAATTTGAAAAGTGCTTGACTAATCAGATGTAGGTACACGTGTAAGTTATCTGACTTTCAGAGGATCTGTACAATTGCAACTCCATTTGTTTCGAAGATTAATTCCATAATTTTAATAAAGCTAGAGGGTCTTTATGCGCTGACCTGGAAGTTAAGGATTGGTCTCAGTTTGGCCTCTTTTCATTGCTTTGAGGGAAAGTTCATAGCCAAGAAACATGGCTGAACTCATTGGGAATCCTCGCACTGTATTGACCGTGATGCCCCTAAAAAAGACCTGTTGGGGATGGAGAGAGGTTAGACCATAGGAATATACTGGCTATTTTAAGAAGAAGAAGAAAACATTGAGCAAAATCATGGTGGGATTCAGAAGAACCAACTCTTGCTTTGCTCAGGAGATACTCTCTCCATGCCAGTCTTTGCTGAATTCTGTGCTGGAGAACAGAACCACAATGGCAAAAGTCACTTGTTTGGCACCATAGAGCTCCAGGCTCCCTATGGATCCCCTCTGTATCTGCCAGCAAGAGCTACAAGAGGTTGAGGGTAAAAAATGGCCTCATGCCCCTAGTGTAGAACAGAAAGCAAGAAACCTAGAACGTCTTCCAGTGTTGTCCTACCTAGCTACAGTCCCTCCTCCTCTCTGCATATGGGATCATGCAAACATCCAGGGTACAAGAAGAAAGCTGTTGCTTTCGTGCAGCAAATGCTTGGACTCCCAGGCCTGGGTCTATGAGTCCAGAAGACGTTTGGGAAGTGGAGAGGGATTGGTGTGGCTGAGCCAGCCCAGCCAACGCTCACACTGTGCCACAGGGACCGTTCTGCAGCTTTCACCTTTCAGCACAGAAACAAATTCTCAATCAGCAGAAATCTAGACTTGCTCTATACCTTGCTGAGATCTAGCTCTTGCCACCAGCTTTGGGAAAAGTATTTGATAGAAGCTGATATTTTCATATGTGGATTGCTAAGGTCAAGCTTTAGTGCTCATACGTATCCCAGTGTTTTCTTCACTATGATAATAAATATTAATATATACAGCCAGACTTCCACATTCTGCTCAATATGTATTCTTTGGAAAAATGCTGGCACTTCCAAGACCCTGCATTTTTTAAGTGCTTGACAGAAAAGTGCTTTCTAGAAAGTGGAGAAGGGGCCCTTGTTGCTCCTGGTGTTGGCTTGTTTCCCTTCGAAAAACACCCTCATAACAAACACCGTGGCCTGGAATGTGCACAAGTCACTCACTCTGGGGTAACCCTGCTTACAAAGTGATGGGGTATCTCTGCTGGCCTGTTTCTCCCAAAATCACTCCGTTAACCACCCAGGCTAATCACTGTGGTCACTAATCTAAACACCAGAAGTTCAGAATAGACATCAAAAGTAACATCAGCAAAGCAAGCCCCCTTCCAGGCTCTACAAAGGCAAAATTCCCACACATAAGAAAGCCCACAAGATCTCAGCTCCAAGACCAGAAACCCAGAGATTTAAGTATCTACCCAGCATTTCCCCTGAAATACTAAGCTGACTTGTACCAGACAGAACCAAAACATCTTCACATTGTTTAGGACAGAACTTGCAATGTGAAATTGCAATATTAGGATATGTAGGATATCCCTAGATTTATTGGGCTCTTTTCTTTTGTTAAGAAAGACAGAATTTTCTGGGAGGAAATTCAAATTTTTGCAGTATCCATATAGTAACATGAGAACGCCAAATTAAATAATAATGAAGATTCATGAAGAGAATCCCAGAGGCACACATTTTTCTCATCAGAATGAAAACACCTGACTATGGAGAAAGAAGGCACACAGAAAAATGTATTTACGTTTTCCTGTGTGCCAGGCAATTATTTTCAGCCCCGTGAATGCTTTCCCCTTGTCCCAGAATGAAAACACCCAGACCTGGGTTTGCCATTTATCACCTCTTTGTTTCCTAACGTATAAAACAATTTTCCTTATGAAAGTAGGATCTACCAGTCTTATCATCAACTATTACTCAATCCTGTTGCTGGCTTTGGTCCAGGCGCCAGGCACGAGAGTGGAAAAACTGCAAGCAGCTCAGACATCAAACAAAAAAAAATAATTAAAGTGCCTGAACTAGTTGTTAATATTCAGGCAGGATCAGGAGGGTGGGGGGTGAGAGGAAGACAGAGAAAGAAGGGAAAACACATGGAAATTCCCTTTTTAGCCATCCTGTGTGCTACCTGTGCAGAGCCTGGAGCATCCTGACCCTCCTCCGACCACCTTTAACATCTCTGCCAATCTCTCCCAATGCCTGTGCTTCATATGTGACTTCATATGTCACTTCAATGTGACTTTCTTCACTCAACAGCACATAATGAACCGAACTGCAGGCTCCCACAACAGCTGCCCTAACACAGTGCTACCTTGGCAAGTATTTAAATCACACCGCCTTGTGATTTTGCAGGTTATTTTTCTTTTTTTGTAACTTTTCCCTCAGGATGTGAAAATTAACACTTTGGAGCTAAAAAGCCCACTTGATGTTTTGATGACGACTGAAATGTGACTTTTCCCTCAGGATGCGAAAATTAACACTTTGGAGCTAAAAAGCCCACTTGATGTTTTGATGACGACTGAAATACAGTTTTATATCAATATCAGAAGATGTGGCTTCCCGTAACCTTGAGTTATCAGTGCAATAAAGCTGCAAACCCTGGTTCTCCACCATTCACTTTCAGCTTGCCTGTGCTTCATATGTGACTTCATATGTCACTTCAATGTGACTTTCTTCACTCAACAGCACATAATGAACCGAACTGCAGGCTCCCACAACAGCTGCCCTAACACAGTGCTACCTTGGCAAGTATTTCAATCACACCGCCTTGTGATTTTGCAGGTTATTTTTCTTTTTTTGTAACTTTTCCCTCAGGATGTGAAAATTAACACTTTGGAGCTAAAAAGCCCACTTGATGTTTTGATGACGACTGAAATACAGTTTTATATCAATATCAGAAGATGTGGCTTCCCGTAACCTTGAGTTATCAGTGCAATAAAGCTGCAAACCCTGGTTCTCCACCATTCACTTTCAGCTGAGGCAAAGTTTGCGGTTGAAACAAATAACTTTTATTACTCTAATAGACAAAGTCAAAAAAAGGAGATAAGTATTTTTTTTGGCACACGGCCCTTCTTCAGGTTTGCAGCCAAAGCAATTCGAATTGAAGAGCATTTTCAATCAGCTGTTTCTTGGTGGAAAGCGAGGGTGAGCAGTTCCACCAAAATGTGGCCCAATGTATGATTTTTGGTGTCAACAGGAAACATCTGATCTCTGCATTTTGTCAAAGCAATCACTGAGGCAAGATTTTCTACCTCTAATTTATGACAAATCACATCCACAATTAAATGCACTTACATGAAGTGTTATTTTAAGTTAATTAAAGCAGCAGACCGTGAACCCCAGTCATTGATTTTTTCAGTTCTGTGAGACACATTATTACTCTCACTATTATGATTAAGAAAGAATCCACACTATAATTACCTAATGTCATTATTATAATTTAGCAGTAACTGGCTTTAGCTGTCTTTCAACCCTGCAAATAGTTTTGTTATAGCCATTGTATTTCCTAAATTGAAAATTAAATACCTAATACCCAGATTTTACTTCAAATATCACTTACTTTTAGGCCCTCGTTCTGGTAGCTCTGCAAGATACAGTCAAGGGTCCCTTTGTACTTGTTTAAATAAACTCCATCTGCCTGAAGTCGACTTTTCACAACATCCATTGGAGTAGCAGTCCCCCAGGAAATGGCTCCTAGAAAAATGCAGAAGTATTTGAACAATTTCTTCTCTGTATTTCCTGGGTTGCAGGTCAGTGAACTCAGAAATTCATCTCTCATCTACCACCTCGTATCCATGGGCTTTTCATTCCACGGCAGTCACCCTGCTCAGGCACAGAAGCAGTAAGTAGTTCAGGGAGCAAAGTTCCCTGTTTCTGGAAGAAGCAGTGAGATTTTGTGCGTTAATGCTGGTAATCAAATGCAGACAGCCCAGGAGGTGCTCCCCCAGGTGCAAATACATCTTCTGCCGTGCTTCTGGTGGAGCATGGACATGCTGTGGGAAGAGCCTGAGCTTCAGGGAGCTGCTGCTTGAGGGCAATTTAAAAAAAAAACAACAACAAACCAACCTGGAGTCTCAGGTAATACTGTTGAAAAGCAAAGTTTGAGCTGAGAATGCAAACAAGAGACTAGTCCATCTCATGCAACCAGGATTAAGCCCCACACAGCTGAGAGACATCATCACTCCTATAAAGGAGCCGTTTATTTACCTTGATTAGCCTGCAGCTGAGTGGGATGTTTTGCCTCTCTGGAAAGGTCAGCATATGACCGTAATTCGTGGCCCAGTTGGACACAGGAGAGCTTGTTTGGACCTACGTGAGTGTTGGGGCATACTGGAGAAGCTGTTCAGATGGGCCAGGGCTCTGTTTATTTGCAGGAGAAATGGAGAGAGGGTGTTTTGTAATCGTTACCTGAGCTAAGGATTGATCTGCATTTAGGGGGGCTGCAGTTGAGAAATGGCCAAGAAACGGGGAGTGGGTGTAGGGGTGACCTAACACCTCTAGGTGTGGTGGGGAAATGCACATGCTGGTCTTACTGGCAGGGGTACGCAGGAAAAAAAAGGAGGAGAAGATCAGTAAGAGTCAACCCTGGTTGTGGGTAGGGTGCACACCCTCCTGGGGGGCAGCCAACAGGTTGAAGTCCTCTTCTGGAAGCATCTTGGCTGCCGTATGTCACTGGCAACGCGATACACACGGGCTGCCCTGGGACATCCAGGGAGATGAAGGCGCTGGCTGGTTTCCATCTCATCGACATTGAGCCTGATGAAGATCTGATAACGTGCCTTCAATAAAAGTTTGTCAAGTCATAAAAGCGCAGCTGTGGTGCCAGGGGACCTGGCCCCAGGGGAGGAAGGTCGTTCAACTCCATGTCTTCTCCTGGTGATCAGTAGGATGTGGTGGCCCCTGAGCCAGCCCTCGGGCACCTTCCCATCCTCGTTCTGCCAGTGTTGTGGGGGAAAAACGGTGCTTACCTGCTATACCCCCTGCCAGCCAGATGGAGGAAGGACTAGGAGAAATGCATCCCTCAGGAGTAATCCAGCCACAGAAAAACGTGTAAGGGATGAAATAGAGGCAGTACCCAGGAACATCCCTCAGAAGCATTGCTCCCACGCCTCGGTATATTCCTGCTATCCCCTCTTTCTGTAGGACTGTCCTAAAGCAGTGAATTGGCCCTCGGTACAAAGGAAATTCAGGAACTGTGGGCTTCAGTTTAACGTTTCCTGAAAAAAAAAAAAATAAATACAACTGTCGTAATAGCTATATTGCTACCAGACTTCTCTCAAAAGTCCACCACTATCCAACAGAAATCACTGCCATCCATCTTCTTTTGCTGGGATCAAGATGTAGTAGGTGGGGAAAAAAGGTTTTTGGAAACAAGAATTAGGCCCATTTTTAAAAAAACATTTAGGTACTTCAGGACAGATTTTTTTTAGATATATTGCATGCCTCCCAATATGTGTCGAGTGAGATTTCCAAATGAATTTAAGGCCATGTGCCCAAATTTCATGGATTTTAACCACATCTGGTGCCAAACTGTATCTTTGAAAGCCTTGACATCTTCAGAGTCTGGCCCTTCTGATGTAGAGGACTGAGCTGCTTTTGGAAAGGGCATTAGGTTGCTAAGTTGGATGGAGGCTTTTAAAAGTGGACATAATTGTATTTTATCAAAGCAATATAAAAATGTCACTATTCCGCAGTTAAAGACCACAGCTGTAATCATGAGAAAGGTAGAGTTTGTGAAACTGCTGAAATCCAAGCTGTTGAGCTCTGAAGCTGCATACAGTTAAACACCACAGCTGTAATCATGAGAAAGGTGAAGTTTGTGAAATTGCTGAAATCCAAGCTGTTGAGCTCTGAAGCTGCATCATCTCTTCCTTTGGCTGTGCATGGGCTCCAGTAGGGTTTCATAGAACCACAGAATGGTTACAGTTGGAAGGGACCTTAAAGATCACCTCATTCCAACCCCCCTGCCCTGGACAGGGACACCTCCCACCAGCCCAGGTTGCTCCAAGCCCCCTCCAACCTGGCCTTGAACCCCTCCAGGGATGGGGCAGCCACAGCTTCTCTGGGCAACCTGTTCCACTTGAGCAGAAGCAGCTCCTTTTCCCTGCAGCTTCTGAAGAGGTTACAGCTTCCCACTGCCATCCTGCTGGTGTCCTCTCCTGACCCGTCTTGACTGCACCTGGGTACCTGGAACCCTGCTCTGAGTAATCCAGCAGTTTTCAAATATACATGTGAAATTTAGGGGTTTATGGGCAAATATCTGTGGGATTGAGAGTGTGCAGCAGTAGGTGGGGAGCTGGCTTTACTGCCGGCAGCCGTGGTGCTGCTGGCCCAGGGGATCTCCAGGGGATCTGACAGCCCAGGGACTCTGTTCCTGCCCCATGGCCGGGTGAGGAAGGTGGCTGCTGTGGCTCCTGGTCCTGAGCAGACCTCCCCCTGTGTTTATTATAGACCCCAATCAGTTGGAAATCCCAGCAGAGATCTCATCAATGCCACTGATTAAAAAAAACCCTCGAGCTGCACAGGATGAGGTCCACCCTGAAGCTGAAGGAAGCACCTTCAGCTCAATCATGGTGGCACAAGGCAGCAGAGAGCTGGGCCTGGAAGCAAAGTTGTCCTCAAGCTCTCGGTAAAACACCCAGAACCGACAGGGAAAGCAAAAAAAACCTCTTGCTTCCTACCTTCAATGTATGGCTGCGTTTGCATCTGCAGCCTGATCTTCACCAGGTCCACGGGAGTGCCGATGCCCACGGAGATGAACCCTGCCACCATGCTGGCCAGAGTCACGTCGGCCAACGTGGGCTCACAGGCCGGGTCTCCGTGGCGGAGCTGGCTGAGGAGCCGCTGCGTGTTGCTGAAGACACCAAACACCACGGAGCTGTAGACAGCAATGCTGGCCAGAGGGAAGGACATGCCTTTGAAGAAGCCGGCCACCTACCCAAGGCAGGGAGAAGGTGTTAAGAGAGTCAACAGGACTGAGCAGCGTCAACCCCAACTCGTCTACTGGGCCAGAAATGTAAATCGAAGTAGAAGGTGTCTCCTGGAGCCAACCGTTTGCACGTGGTAATTAATTCATACTGCTAAAGACTTGTAACGATTGTGCAGAAGAGGGGACATGATGAAAGCACAGGAACACCCATAAAAGTCCCTTTTATGGCCAGCTTCTGGCCTGGCATCACCAAAGTCAGCAGAATACCTCCAGTAGAGGTATTTTTTGCCAGCAGGTGTGGGCAAACCAGCCCCTGTGGATGTAACATTGACCCATGTGGGGACATGGGCAGTGTCATTATCCTTCCCTGCCAGGGATCTGCCTTCTCCTTCTAGGAGTAACCAAGAGAGTGACCTTAGAGTTAAGCAAGAGAAGGCTGTGGGGATTTGCAGGCTCAATTGCACCAGCTTTATTCATCTTCACGTAACTCCTGGTGTCACCAGTGATTTTGTATAAACACTTTATGTATTTACCTATTTATCTATTTGCATTTGTAGAATTACATTTTAAGTACGATAAAGTACTTACAGACTCATTTCTGTACACGGTGAGAACACAGTTGAGTGTGTTTCCGTACCCTTGTCCAGCTTGCAACCGAGTCTGCAAAAGACATTCAGAAAATGCAATTAAAATCTAATGCTTCCAGCCCAGTGAAAGCTCACGCTACATAAACAATGTGTACTTTGCTTTGAGAACGAATCCTTCCTTAGTTCTAAAGAAAACAGAGCAATAAAAGAAGATATACGTGCATCCACTCCCCCTTGAACTTTGCCAGAAGCAGGGCTAAACGTGATCTCAGAGGTCTGCAGCTCTCTGCAACATCTGGAATCGATGATTGTCAAATTTCTCTCGAGTCCAGACCAGCTACCCTGGCCCTGCCGACTGCTGGTGTGCAGTCCTGTCACTGGCAAGGTCCTGATTTACGTGGAAATTGGAGAGTGATGTGGTCTCCTCCATCTGGGGACTCTCAATGAGCTCCCCTGGGAGGCTTCCAGGGCCTTTCCCATCTTAGGCTGATTTTAAAACATGGAAATACTGACTGGAGCCAAAATAATTCCGAAATTCTCCGTGCTTCACTCGAAAATACATTTTTACATCATGTCCAACAAAGACATTTTGTTTCTGGAAAGCAGTGGTTATTCGCCTTCCAAAAAGTGCCTACAACAGCTGTAAGACATGGCGTGTAAATCAGGACAAAGTCTGTATGATTCAACATGCTTTTCCCCTTCTCACAGATACACATTTATCTGTGTGTATATATACACGTGCAAACATATAGTTAGATCGTCTTTCATTCAAGCTGCTGACAAGTTTGCAATAAAAAAATCCTAATACGTGATGCATTTCTTGGGCTTAGAGGTGTGTGAGGAAATGGAAACCCTGTTTGGTTCGCAGGATCTGGAGCTTCAGCAACTAATCTTGGTTGAGGCCAGAGCTCATTTTTTTATAGGAGGACACTCACGTGCTCTCTCGGGGCTGTGTTTAGGGGATGGGGACAGCATTTCAGGTCATATCCAACAGCATTGCTGCTAGCAGAAATGACAAAATGAAGCCTGGAGGCACAAGGCTGACCTGTGCTGGAGGGACACTGCCCGGTCCCCTCCAACCCCTCAGTCCCAACTTACACCAGGGTGAAGGAGGAACTTTATTTGGGAATTTAAAGCCCAAAGGAGTGAGTGTTCTCCAGAGTTCATGCCTGGGGACGGTTTTTGGACAGCAAACAGCAGGTTGAATGACACAATCCCTTGGCTCTGAGCCCTGCAAGAGCCTCCCCCACCTTGGGGTGCCAAAGGGGGGGACCCTGGCTGGGGAGAGAGAAGGACCAAAACCTGGGCTCACTCCTCACCTCAGGGCTTCTCCATCCAGCCGTCTGTCCACACCGAGCACCTCTCCACACCTGGCCAGAGGCCATGGGGAGGGTGGCAGTGAAAGTAAACTATTTACTGAGCCCTTCTAAACAAGCTGGTGCATGAAGATGCCAGCTATGGCTCATGCAGGGCACGTTGTGCAACGTTGGGGGCCGTGGGGGCAGAGCTGTGCGTGCCGTGACTCACGCCAGGGGCGGTGGGGACACCAGCTGCACCCCAGGACAGGGTGACCCCCGTGCACAGCCCTGCCTTTCCCTCCCAGCTCCATCTGCACTCTCCCTCAGACATTTCCATTTTACCTCCCTGGGCTTGTTTTTTTTTCTTTTACACAGTAACCAGGTATCCAGAAGTTTAAGTTAATAAATTTTTCGAGTAACTGGGTGTCCTCACAAGCTGTGAACGCCCCGCGCTGAAACCCCTGCTGCCATCTCTGTCAAAGTCAGCTGATGGCAGGACAGATGTTCCTGGGGAAACTTTTCCTGTTAGGTTTTAATTAGACAAGAGCCCTTGGGCGACACCCAGAAACTGAAGAAAGTTCTGGGGAAATGAACGCGATGTGGAAGATTAAACGTGAGTAAATGTAAAACTATTTAGAGTGGAAAAACAGCTGCTTGGGTTTGAGGGAAGCTGCGACGCTGGGAAGGGGCCAGCAGAAGAAGACCTGCTTGATGGGAACCATGGTGCAGATACCACAGACCCCATCCAGCCTTTCTTCCAGTCTTGACCTCTCCTCCAGGTGGGGAAGGACCCCCCCCATCTCCTGGAGGCAGCGAATGCCATTGAGCTGCCCCTTTTCTAGCTTAGTGCTGTGTAAAAACTCTCCTTTCCACTTCCACTAAATTTGGAAAGATAACAAGGCTGCCTACTTGGTATTCCCAAAGCCAAGGGCAGCAGAGGGGTCAGCCTTTCCACTTCCACTAAATTTGGAAAGATAACAAGGCTGCCTTCTGGGTATTCCCAGGCCGTGTCCAAAGCCAAGGGCAGCAGAGGGGTCAGCCTGAGAGATGTCTTTATAAACACTGAAGGATGGGCTCACTCTTTCTTGGCAGCCAAAAACTTGATGCTTCCCAGGAGAATCCTCTCCAAATTGTTGCCAAAATCTCCCCAAATCTGGCAGTGAGGCCCTGATGGCCAGCTCAAGATGGGGATTGCCTTGGCAACCCCGGGCAGAGCCAGCTTGTGCTGCTCATGCCCTGGCAGACCATCTCCTCATCCCAGGAGAGACGGTTGCCTGGAAGGGGATGGCTGCTTGGAAGGAGAAGGGATGTGGCATGGGGCAGCCCTGGCCCCTGCCTCCTCCCCATCACCCTCCAAGGGTCTCTAAGATGCAAAGGGTGACTCTGGGGTTTGTCTCATCTGACAGTCCCACCTGGTGCCAGCCACGAGGCTTGAACCTGATGAGAGCACATGGGCAGAGCAGTTGAAGCAATGAAAGCTGGGCTCAGATGCCCATCACACTGTGCAAAAGGAGAAAGGAAAAAGAAGAGGATCTTCCTCTACATCTCTGCATCAGTGGGGATGGTCAACTGACAGCTTGCGTCAGGCCGTGGCGGTGTGTGCACGGGCTTGTCTGCATCATGCTGGCAAATATCTTTTTACATCTCTAAATCCTTCCCTCTGTGGAATTACGTCTATGGAGAATTATGTAAATATTGCATCTCATAGCCCTGGGCTAACAGCTCCAGCACTCTGCCCTCCCAGCGTTGCCAACACTAGGAAAACATGTAAAAATGTGCCTGCAGCAAAACAAATACAGTTCCTGTGTTGCCCTTTTGAATACTTCTCTGTGGCGAAGTTCAACAGAACATGGGCAGAGCTGTTGGGTAAACCACCCCATTAAGTAAGGCCAGGTTTAATTTTCAGCGTTAATCCTCACCGGAGGAACTCGCACGTATCAGCCACTTCTTTTAGTTTCTCATTCACAACGAGCATCGGAGAAGAACAAAGGCTAAAGTCTACTAGAACATTTCTAGCCAGGCTAAATTCCCCCGTGGGGTAGTGAGGAAAGTGAAGGTCTTTTGAAGCGTCATCTCGAGAGAAGCCACCTCCCCGTCGGTGGGGTTTTGGGTGGTGACGTGAGAACAAAACATGGTTCAAAGTGTTTTACCTTGATGGTGTCCAGGGGGTGGCCCACAACCACGCTGGCAGCTCCTGGGGATGAAAGCAAAGTATTACACAAAGCATTGAAGAAGCTTTTGTGATGGGACAGGAAGCGATGGGTTTATAGGGGAGGAGGAGAGATTTCCATAGGAACAGCCATACTGGGCCAGAGCAATGCCCAGTCTCTAACAACAGGAAAAGCTGGGCAGAAACACTTAGGCATCTTCTCCCAGATACTCTCCTGGACTCCATCAACTTTATATCTCAAAGGCATCCAAGCTTGATGAGGAAGTGGTGGATTTATATTTCCTGTCCATGAACAACCTCCTTCACACTCTTGTAAGTTCATGCAAATATTTAGCCTCCAACGGTGAGATTCAGGTCAGATAATGAGGAAATGCTTTCTCCTGGCTTGGATAACAACGCGCTGGAGCCAACTGCTGATGGGGACTGTGAACCCCCATCCGTTGCTCTTTTAAGAGCAGTTTACAGAGGTACCCGTCAGGGATGAGTCAGATAAAGAGGACCTTGCTCTTTATTGATCTTTACAATCCCATCCAGCCTCACTCCCCACGGCTGTCTGGAGAAACTGGCCCATTCCCAAAGGGTGTCCTGCCCACCTTCCCATGCCATTCGTTGCCAGGAGCCCCCACGGCAGGACAGAGCACGGCTTGGTTTCCCCCTTCTCTGAGAGGATGGAGCAACCCCTGTGCCGTGGCCAGAATGTGGTTTTGTGCTCTTGTAGCAAACCACGCTGGCAGTTTTCGGGGTGTTTGGGGAGATGACAGGTAGTTTGTGCTGCTTCCACATCTGCAAGTCTCCATGCAAACCAGTGTCCCCAAACGCTTTAGAGACTACATGAAATTTCTCACTTGTGGATCAGGACTGAAAAGAGCATCACATCCTTGGTCAGCACATGATGACTTTACTCAAAAACATTATAAAATGACCCTTCTCCTCCTGGACCTTAAACCTGAGACCACCTGTGGGTCTAGCTCTAGGCATGAAAACTGGGTGCTGCCACCCACACTGGTGGCTCTTCACCCCCCACGTGTCCTGTCCAGCACAGGGGGAGCGGGGCAGATGGCCTCCTGCAGCCTCCGCGGGCTGCAAAGATCCAAAAATCCCTTTTTTGAAGATCCAAAGATCCCAAAATCCCTTTTTTGAAGATCCAAAGATCCCTAACTTTTTGGCAGAGGTTCTGGGCTTTGGTTTAGAGTCAGCCAACCCGTTGACTTCACCTGGCTGGTCCGGACCTATGAACCATCCTACATCCATAGCCCCAACCCGGGACCCCGGGCAGAGCTGTGGTGTGGGGTGGGCAGTGCAGTGACACCCCCCTTGCCCCCTTATCGGCTGTTAGACCCGGGGAGGGGCGGGGGGGGGAACTTTCTCCTTTCCTTTCTGCTCTCTGTGCTCCCGGTGTTTGCAATCAGCGTTTTTTCAGGGGCCGGATCGATACCCCTCTCTCTGCCAGAACGTCAGCCCCGCCGGGGTCACCGCCCCCCCGGGGGTGTGTGGGGCTGGGGGACCCCCGGTTGGCTACTGCGAGCCCTGGGTTGGCTACTGCGAGCCCCGGCTGCTCGCCTCCGAGCCCAGCTTGGAGGGGAAGGGAGTGGAGAGCCGGTGGGGGTTCGGGGGGGTTGGGGGGTGGCTCCGGCAGCCCCCCCTCCGCCCCCTTTCCCTGGGCGCGCAGCAGCATCACCCCTACCGAGGCTTAAATTTGGGGTATCCCTCCCGTGGGATTAAACCCAAGCCAAAACCGACGGCGCCGGTGGGTGG